GCATGGTGGTGTGTGCCTGTAATCCCAGCTACTCAGGAGGCTGAGGCAGGAGAATCGCTTGAATCCGGGAAGCAGAGGTTGCAGTGAGCCAACGTTGTGCAACTGCACTCCAGCCTGGGCAACAGAGTGAAACTCCATCTCCAAAAAAACAAAAAAAAAATCATGTTTTACATCTGGCTCACAAATTTCTCAAACATTTAACGACTGACTCACTCACATAAGCCAGTACATGCCAGGTTTGGCAAACCATGAAATACTCATCTCTTTGTAAGAATTGTGGAAGAGTTCTCTGCCTCCAAAGCTATCCCAGAAAGCATAGAAATCGGGGGGTGGAGGGATGTCCCTTATCAAAGGCATGGAATGAGAAGGAAAAAATTCAAAAGTAGAAGAAAAAGGAAATTGGGAGGGCCCCATCACACTGGCCTCACAACCCTGCTCTAGAATCTTCTTCCTTCTCTATTATCTTCACACTTCCTTGGATCTTGTTCTCCGGTCCTTCTCAGTGTTGCCCCTGTGGCTCCCCTTGGCATTGCTGTCCTTCCTGGGCTTCTTGTCCCGTTCTTCTATTCGCCTTGCAGTCTTGGCTCTCCTTCCACTTGTTCTGGTGATGTACAACTTCTTAGTCACCAATTTCCATGATTTTTTTCAATCCTCCCCCTCTTCTTTTTAAAAATTTTTAAAGTTTATTTTTATAGAGACGGGGTCGTTGCTGTATTGCCCAGGCTGGTCTCGAACTCCTGAGCTCAATTGTTCTGCCCACCTCAACCTCCCCAAGTGCTGGAATTACAGGTGTGAACCACCACGCCCTGCCCCTCTTTTCCTTTTCTGCCATAGCAGGGGCTTAAGTTGAAAATGGGGCCACAGGAATCCCTCTATCAGAGGACTACGAGGAAATCACAGCAGGCTCAGCCTTCTGGGGCCTTTTCTTTCTAGTTTTCTGATGCTCAGTGTTGCCTTTTCATGAACTGAATGATCAAAAAAAAGGGGAAACTCTGCAAGATGCATCTTCAGTTGGATTTGGGGTGGTTGTCCAATAAATAAATTTTCATTAATGAGGAAAGCATAGAAGTGTGGAAAAAGTTAATAAACCCTGTGATAAAATGAGGCAATAGCAATGCAAATTTCTAGGGGGCTGATTAAGAAAATATATATTTTTTTAAAAAAAACTTAATAATTTGGTCATTAAATATTTAACAACTCAAGGACCATTTAAAAGAGAAAAAATTGTTATAGACCCTTTTTAAAGAAAAAAACATTTTCTTGTGGATCCTCAGTGTTGCCTTAAATTATTTTTATTATGTTATTTAAAGAATACAAACATGGCTGGGTGCAGTGGTTCATGCCTACAATCCCAGCACTTTGGGAGGCCCAGGCAAGTGGATCACCTCAGGTCAGGAGTTCAAGACCAGCCTGGCCAACATGGTGAAATCCGGTCTCTACTAAAAATACAAAAAATTAGCTGGATGTGGTGGCAGACACCTGTAATCCCAGTTACTTGGGAGGCTGAGGCAGGAGAATTGCTTGAATCCAGGAGGCGGAGGCTGCAGTGAGCCGAGATCTCGCTGCTGCACTCCTGCCTGGGCAACAAGCGCAAAACTGTTTCAAAAAAGAAAAAAAGAGAGTACAAACATAAACTAGATATAAAGCCCATATTTTATAACCTTCACATAATTATAAAATATAAACAAAATCACGAAAAGCAATAACATTTTAACAAAGAACATTAATTTAATGTGATGAATGATGTTCTTAAAAGCACATTACTGCTGTTGGGCTAAATAGTTGGTTTGTTGAAAAAAGTAACTGATTAATCAATAAACAAATAAATCTTGTCTTGTTCATTGGTGGGAGGAAATGGCAAATCATGGCGTCTCTGTTCTTCCCACCCCCCACCAACTCTTGACAACTACAAAAACATGAGGGAGTGAAACAAGGAAGTATTACTCTCTTTATATTCTCCCATATTTGTCACTATTAAAAACCAAACTAGGCTGAGCACCGTGGCTCATGCCTGTAATCCCAGCACTTTGGGAGGCCGAAGCGGGTGGATCACCTGAGGTCAGGAGTTCAAGATCAGCCTGACCAACATGGAGAAACCCGGTCTCTAAATATATATATGTATACACACACACACACACACACACACACACACACACACACACACACACACACAAATTAGCCCAGTATGGTAGTGCACCTCTGGAGTCCCAGCTCTGGGGGAGAGCGAGAAACCAGGAGGCAGAGGTCGCGGTGAGCCAAGATTCTCCCCCTGCATCCCGCCTGGGCAAAAGAACAAGGCCTCCACTAAAAAAAAAAAAAACACAAAAAAACAAACTAGGCCAGGCAAGGTGCCTAATGCCTGTAATCCCAGCACTTTGGGAGGCTGAGGCTGGTGGATCACCTGAGATCAGAAGTTCAAGACCAGCCTGGTCAACATGGTGAAACCCTGTCGCTACTAAAAATAACAAAAATTAGCTGGGCACAGTGACGAGCACCTATAATCCCAGCTACTCAGGAGGCTGAGGCGGGAGAATCTCTCAAACCCAGGAGGTGGAGATTGCAGTGAGCCGAGATTGTGCCATTGCACTCCAGCCTGGGCAACAAGAGTGAAACTCCATTTTAAAAAATTAAAAAATCATACTAAAGAAGAAAAACCAGCCTGGGCAAGGTGGCTCATACCTGTGATCCCAGCACTTGTGGAGAATGAGATCGGAGGATCACTTAAGGCCAGGAGTTCAAGACCAGCCTGGGCAACAGAGTGAGACCCATTCTCTACAAATAAATAAAAATAAAAAAATTAGCTGGGCACAGTGGGTCATGCCTGTAATCCCAGCACTTCAGAGGCCAAGGCAGGCAGAGAGCTTGAGCGCAAGAGTTCAAGACCAGCCTGGGCAAAATGGTGAAACCTTGTCTCTACAAAAAAATGCAAAAATTAGCTGGGTGTAGTGGCATGTACCTGTAGTCCCAGGTACTCAGGAGGCTAAAGTGGCGGGGGTTGCTTAAGCCAAGGAAGTCAAGCCTGCAGAGAGCCACAATTGCACCACTGCACTAGAGTCTAGGTGCCAGAGTAAGACCCTGTCTCAAAAAAAAAAATAAATAAATTTAACCAGGTGTGGTGGCTCACGTCTGTAGTCCTGGCTACTCAGATCTCAGGAGGCTGAGGCAGGAGGATCACTTGAGCCCAGGAGTTCAAGGCTGCAGTGAGCTATGACTGCACCACTGCACTCCAGCCTGGGTAACAGAGTGAGATTGTATTTGGTATTTAATTTTATAGTCTTAAAAGTTGTCTCAAGGGTCGAGTGCGGTGGCTCACACCTATAATTCCAGCATTTTGGGAGGCTAAGGTGGGCAGATCACAAGGTCAGGAGCTGGAGACCAGCCTGGCCAATATGTTGAAACCTTGTCTCTACTAAAAATACAAAAAAAATTAGCCTAGTGTGGTGGTGCATACCTGTAATCCCAGCTACTTGGGAGGCTTAGGCAGAAGAATTGCTTGAACCTGGGAGGTGTAGGTTTCAGTGAGCCGAGATCACATCACTGCACTCCAGCCTGGGTGACAGAGCAAGACTCCATCTTAAAGAAAAAAAAGTTGTCTGCAGGGAAAAAAATTAACTTTCCTTTCCTTTCCCTGATTTTATCTCATGAGCCACCTCCGACTCAGCAACAGGGAATGTCATCTTACCAATTCAAGGTAATCCAATATCTCCTGGGGAAAACAGTCAACTAGTGACTCTCTCCCTCACTCTTTTGAAGATGCCTGAGCTTCAGGGAGCTGTGTCTCGCAGGAGGGAATCTTAATCCACAGTCACTGGTTTTCTCCCTATTGGCTTTTTCTGCTATGGGCTGGCCCCAGTGGTCTTGAGAGCCCAGCCTTCCAGATGGAGGTCGGCAATGCTGCTGGCCTGCACACTCCACGTCTCTGCCCATCTGGTCAATCCTGGAGGCAAACAGGAAGGCTCCCTGTATCCCCAGGCTTCACACGAGTGGAGGGAGGCATGGCGGGGGTGGGGTGGGGGGAAGACAGGGTCTCTCAGCCTCTCTATGCTTCCACCTGCCCAGCTGGCATTTTTGCTCATTTTAACACACCTCACTCTAAGCAGCCGCCATCCTCTCACAGAATCACAGGTGGGAAGTGGGACGCGATCCTCTTGGCCACACGTCACCAGCCTAGTCTGGGAGTTCTACTGAACCCATTCCTGAGTCCCCTCGGGTGCAGTCCAGGGAATACCTCCTCCAGCAGTTCACCCTTGCTTTTTTCCTTCACCCCCACTCCTTTCTCAGTCTGGGGGATTTTTCTCGATAGGGGCAGAAATTGCTCTTACATTATCATTCAATTTTTTTTTTTTTTTTTTTTTTTTTTTAGAAACAGGGTCTTGCTACATCGCTTAGGTTAATTTTAAACTCCCGGACTCATGTGATCCTCTCACCTCAGCTCCCAGGTAGCTTGGACTACAGACACGAGCCACATGCCCGGCCTCATTCATTATTTTGAATCAGCTGTTTGTGGAATAAAGCAGTGATACTTCGGCAAATGTATAAAAATGGACTCTTCAGGAAGAAAAGCCCTGGTTTATCGTGTTTGCCGTTTTCACAGCGTAAACCTACCATGGTTGATTTCAAGCTATCTGTGACGTCACTGGACACTGGCTGTCTTGAACTGGTTCTGGCACACCCTGGATGTTGACGCCGCTGATTACCGAGGATCAAAGTCAAATTCTGTACAGTTCAAATTCATTCTTCTCTCCCTCAAAAACCCAGCTCTTGGCCAGGCACAATGGTTCACGCCTGCAAATCCAGCACTTTGGGAGAAGAAGGCAGGTGTATCGCTTGAGGTCAGGAGTTCGAGACCAGCCTGATCAACATGGTGAAACCCCGTCTCTACTAAAAATACAAAAATTTCCAAGCATGGTGGTACACGTCTGTAATCCCAGCTACTTAGGAGGTTGAGGCACAAGAATCACTTGAACCTGGGAGAAGGATGTTGCAGTAAGCTGAGATCGCACCACTACACTTCAGCCTGGGTGACAGAGCGAGACTCTGTCTCAAAAGAAAACAAACAAACTAAAATTCAGCTTTTACAATGGAAAGTCTTGGCATTCAAGATTTTTTGCCTTGCTGTGCATGGAAACACCCTATTTTAGAACTCAGAACCAAGAATTTGTCTCTGTCAGCTGTCTCCTAAGAGTAACACATTTAGAACTCTATCCCTAAGTGGTGGGAGAAGGTTAATGGGTACAAGAAAGCCTGGAGAAAAGAAACCTCAGTTAATATCTCAAGATAGTCTCCACCACTTGCTTGTAACTTTATTGAATGGTTTGAAATAGCAACTGTGTTATCAATGGAGGCTCCACTAAGAAACTGCTATCAAACGATACAAACTTACTACACAATTAAAGGAAGGGTCAGCTACTAGGGCCAGTGATGGAGAGAGAGAGAGAGAGAGAGAGAGAGAGAGAGAGAGATGGGAGAGCCCTGGGGCAGCAGCAGGAAGAGACCTCCTAAAGAGAGTTACCAAAAGTATGAGAATATTTTGTTCACATTTAACACATCGATGGTTTCAGCACATGCACTCACTAAACATAACTATATGCTATTCTCATTTGAAGATGTAATAAGACTAAATTCAGGGTCATGAAGAAGAGGAGGCCATCCTGACCCCTCAGCCTGGCTCTGCAGCTACGACAGGGGGATGGGAGAGGGAGGAGAGGGAGGAGAGGGAGGAGAGGGAGGAGAGGGAGG